CCCCAAGGGAAGAAGTTGCGTAAAATCAGCAAGGGGTTGCCTGGTAGGGAAACGCGCTCAGAACAGTCCCTGTAAGCAGAGCAATGGCAGAGCCGCCCGGAGAGGCTGCAGCGAGGGGCAGCGGTGCACACCCCCCCCGGGCTCACAGCAAAACGCCCGGGGGGCTCCAGAGTAGGCACCCCCAGCCTGGCCGGCCAACCCTGGGTGGGCGCCGACAGCTCCCCTGCCAGGCGGGCCTTCCCCGGCCTCTGATGGGGGCAGGAAGGGCCAGGCCGGAACGGGCGAGGCGCCGGCGGCCAGCAGCTGCGCCAGCCTGGCTTGGCCTCGCAGCCCGAAGGGGTCTCTGGCAGAGCAGTGCTTCTCGGGGGCTTGGCCACGCCGCTGACAGCGGATGGAGGGGCTGGACCCCCCCCCCCCCTTTGCAGAGCTGGCCCCAGGTGTCTGCTGCACCTTCCCCCAGGAGAGCACTGACAGCCCCGAGATGCGGGAACTGAGAGGAACTGCAGCTGAAGACAGAGGGAATGGCTGAAGGCATCCTTGCAGGCCCCCCCCCCGCCCCCCATCCTATCTTCCAGGATCAGCAGTCCAGCCTGGAGGATCTGCCGACATGGGGAGGAGGCCAATACGAGAGGGTCAGCAGATCTGCAGTGGCTCGTCCCAGAAACGCCCATTTGAACCTTGAGCAAGACCACGCTTGGAAGAGCCAACGAGCGTGGGGGCTGGGGGGGGGGCACTACCAGCCACCTCATGCCCCTACCACGTGGCACAGGCAAACGAGAGAGGACGGCTATCGCCACCCCGTGCCCGGGAACTTCCTGAGTAGATGCCATGACAGTTTAGTAAAGCGGCGCTTTGAGCACACGGCCACTATCTAACTGGGCAACCGAGCCCGCCTTTTGGACTAGCCAGCTGTCCTGACTCTGGCCCTCTGTCCTGGCAGGTGTGACTGGCCGCGAAGGCACAGCGTTAGCAACTAGGACTGTGGCCCGGGGCCGCGTGTCCCTCGATCCCCTGCCTCACGGAAGGCACGGTGGCCCCGGGCTGGGCAAGGCAGCCGTGAGAGCGTGCCAGAGGCCACGGGTTCTGCCGACAATTTTCCTGCCTGCGTCTCAGAACCGGCAGAGTGGCTATAAGATGATGCCATTCCAAGCAAACCACAAGCGGTTCCTTCCACCCGCTCCTGGTTTGAGGAGGGTGTTGATTTCCCGTCCCTGGCAACAGAGCTACTAAGTTTTGAATCCTCACAATTTTCTTTTTTAATCAACGTCAGCAGGCCCAACCAACCTCTTAAGGACCTGATGATCACTTCCAAATCGCTTCAGTGCAGAGGAGAAAATAGATTTTATGGGAATAAAATTTCAGAAACATTGTCTAAGCTGGGAGTACGCTGGGCAATATTGACTCAGCGAAGAACCTAAATGACCGGGAAGCTCTGGGGGGAGAGACGGAGCAGAACGCGATGTAAAATGAGGTGCAGAGGCGAGACGCTGCGCTCAAGGCAGTTCTTTCCAAAACGCAGTAGACAAACCCAAAAGTCAAGTGCCCCAGGAGCCCGCGATGGCTCTCTGCCCCGTCACCCGAGAAGAACACAAGAAAAAAGAAAGCCCACGTTCGCGCTGGGAGCAAGTGTTCGCCCTGGAGTCAAGCAGGGCAGCCGGCAGCGGAGCGAAACCGCCCCGATACCAGATCCAGTCGGAACCAGCTGGCCCTCAGGAAAGCAGACTCCTGGGCAAAAGAGAGGCCGGCAGCGCCCAGTACGCTCTGGGATTCCGCACACACAAGCGTCTCAGACCATTCCTACAAAACCAATCTCCACTCTGAGCAGCTGCTGGGGAGCGCCAGCCCGACCCGTTCGGGCATCTGGTGGTTCTGCCTGCAGCTACGAGACGGATCGATGCGATCGCAGAAGCCGCAGCCTCGAGGCCGGAGGAGCTGAGCAGGGCTGCCGGGAGAGGGCCCTCAGGGGGGCGTCTGCTCACAGGGTCGCCATCAGTCAGAGGTGACTCGATGGCACGCAACCACAACAAGCTTGGCTTCCCCTCGCACTCCGATAGCAATAAATCAAACCCGGATGCTGGAGTAGCACATATTTAAAATATCCGAAAGGGAGGTGCAGACATAAACCATGGTGAGATAATTGATGCCATTGCTGCTGACGAATATGCGGAGAATGGTGCGGATCCCGGGGCTGGTTTTACAATACTTCGAATAAATGCTGGGGCCCAGGGCAATCCCAACGGATCTGAGGGTGAGCAAGAATGAAACGGGCCGAGAAGCCCCTCCGGATCCCCCGGAAGAGCCAAGGGCCTTGCTGGAAAGGCACCGCGGGGCTGCCAGTGCCGCAGGAAAGCCTGGCCCACACGTCAGCCGTGAGGGAGGGAGCGGCCCGCAAGCCCCGGCGCAGGGGGCAAGGCAGCGACAAGCCCCAGCAAGCCCAAGGGAAAGAAACGGGATACACGCAAACACAAGCGGTCGCCGGCGGCTGCCTGGGAAATGCCGCAAACAGAGGCGGGAGGTCGGCAGGCGGCACCAGCAGCGCCTTTCTCCTTCTCTCCCTCCTTCTCTCAAGGGCACCCCCCAGATGCAACCTCCTGCGGCCTCTCGCAGGGGGAAAGGCCTGCTGGACGCCGTGGGGCCGCTTTGTGTCCCTCCAGCGCTGAGCCCTGAGGACCCCCAGGCGGGCCGGACAGGGTGGAAGCGCCGCCGGGCCCTTTGGTGCACGGAAAGGCGTGCAGGCAAGCCGGCCCGGCTGCGTGGCAGGGGGTGCACGCTGCCACCACGGCCCCGCTGCAGCGGGGGGCGGGCGGGCTTCCTGCTCAACAGGCCAGACCCTCTGGCCTTGGGCTTTCAGAGCGGTCTCGACACGCCACAAGGGTGCACCCAGCCGCAGAGCCCCTGGGGGACACCTCTGCCGATCCGGCAGCCCCGTCCACACGGGGGGAGGAGGGTCAAGCCCTGACAGCAGCCCTTCCCGCTTCCACTGCTCGGGCAACTTCGTCTCGGGCACAATCGTTCGGAGAGGGTCCCTGTCCTGGGGGTGGGGGGCGCAGGGCATCCGCAGAGCGGTGGCGAGGCCCCAGGCCAGGCCGAGCGAGCGCGCAATGTGAGATGAACGCAGGCGCACGCATCCCAAAGCAGCCGAGCGGGAGGAGCACGGGCCCTGGGACAGCGCCCTGCCGGGGGACCCCCCCCCCCGATGGCCAGCCTCTCCCGGGCTGCTTGGCCGGGAAGGGAGGCTTCCTGGGGCGGCTGAGGCCACTAGTCGCTCTGGAGGCGCAACGTCAGTCCGGCTATCGAGCAGCAGAAAGGATTAAACCCCGGCCATGGCCCACGCCTAATCCCGGGCCCCTGGCGCTCCGCTCAAAGAGCACACAAAGCACCATGTCCCACGGGATCGGGCCGCTGGCGCAATGCACATGCGAACTCATTTCTTCCCACTTGACCCGGAGCCTTCCCTGCAGCGCCTCGTGCACGGCCGGCCGGCCGGCTCGGCTCGGGGAGAGCCCTCGGGAGAGCGGGCCCGTCTCTGACCGGCACCTCCGAGCTGCAGGATCAGGCAGCAGCACGAGAGGAGCTCCTGGACACGCGCTCTGGCCGTGCACCAGCCCCAGGAGGTACCAAGAAAGTGGGATGCGTGGCGTGCCAAGGTTCTGCCCACAGCTTCCCTTATAAGCTCCGGGACCATTGAAAGGCGTACTTGATCTTGCCTCGACAGCATTAATACTGGAGCTATTTATATCCCAAAAGCCACAGAATATTTATTAAGATAATAAAATCATACTTTATGTTTTCAAGTTTCCGTAAAACTTCTGATTAGCTCTTCAGTATGGACTTTGTCTACTTGGCACGCGTCGGCTTTTTGAAGGCATTCCCGCACTAGCAGGTGCCTCAAGGTTTAGCCATAATTGTCAGAGGCGAGAAATGAACATCCAGAGGAGAACATGCCTAGTGAAACGCAGAAAGCTCCAGAAGGAGAGCGGAGGCGAGATCAAAAGGCCCGCACCAAGCGCGCGCCTGCCCCACGGCAGCCACTTCACAACAGAGGACGCCGTCCAGGCGCATCTCGGAGGCAGCGGACAAAGCAGAGCCCTTCGGACAACACCGCGGCGTCATGTGTCGGCGGTCCCCTAGCAACCGCGCAAGCCTTCTGCATCCGGTGGCAAGCCCCGACAGGAGAGAGGCTTTGTCGGCCAAGAAAGGTTTCCACTTAGGAACTCAACTGGAGGTTGAAAAGCAAATACTGATGGAGAGAGACGAGGAGCAGCTCCGCAGCGGCTGGACAGAAGCCCACCTGTGCCTCCACCCCCGCGAGAAGCGCCCCGGGAGTGCGGAAAAGGCACAGGGGGCCTCTGTTTACGCGCGACAAAGGAAGGGTGAAGAATGGTGTTCGGGAAGCGCCCTCCCCTCCGCTGCCGTCGCCATTCCTCAGATTCCTCTACCGCCCATAGCCGAAGCTCTCTGGGCAGCTCACAACGTTCCGCCCCCCACCCCGATTTCAACCCGGCCCGACCTGCTCAGCTCCCGGCTCGGGGTCAGGCACCTCCAGCGGCACCTCCGGCAGCCGGGCTGCTCCAGAGGGCCGCTCGCCTCTGCGGGGACAGGAGGGCACAGGGCAGACCGCAGCCGCCCTCCTTGCTTCCCGAAGGAGCACGCGGAGCGACTCCAAGGTTGCGACCCTGCACTGCCCGGAGAGGCGTTTCAGGCGCGGGGGCCGCGTGCCGAAAGCGCACGACGAATGTAACCCCGAGCAGCTTCTCAGTGTATCCGCAAAGCTACGGCAAAATGGTGGCGCACCAGCAGAGTTTAGAAGCAGGTGCGCTGTCAGAGGTTCCTGGCACAGCCACAGCAACCAGAGCTAGCCAAGAGGGCCGGCACGAAGGCCCATGCTCCTTGGCTTTGACGCCTGAGCATAACCACCAGAACTGAGAACCGGCTTCCGGAGGAAAGGGAGCTCTTGGGGGACTTCTGCACCATCTCTTCCAAGCACGGGAGATACTCACTGAGGTCCTCGGCAAGCTGGACTCGTTTCCCCGTCAGCAGCTTTACCTTCTTCTCACTGTCCTCCGCAAAATCCTCCAGCACCTCTTTGACATTCTTTTCCAGGCGCCTCACTGTAGAAAAGAGGCAACTTTCAACGGGACTAATTTTACTCTGGGGCAGGAAAGGGTGGTGGCGGGAGTCTGGCCACAGAGCACGCGTGTTCAGAACGGCGTATTTGTCTGAGGGAAGAGACAGGCTGTGCCCGAGCGAAGGCTTTAACTGCCGGCCCCTCGGGAGGGACACCCGAGCCAAAGTTTCAGGCGGACGGAGTACACCGAGCCTGCGAGCAGGGCTGTGAAGGGATGGGACCCTCGTCACTCATTCGTTCTCGGACTTGAACCAAGTCGGCAGCCCGGGGAGCCCGAAGCGAGCACTCAGGGCTCAGCACGGGTCCAGGAGGCCCGCTGGACCCGAACGGCTGAGAGCGGCTTCACGCTGCTCCCGAACGAAAGCTGCCCTTGGGCGGCGCCGGGCCGCAGGGGGCCGGGACAAAGGGCTCCGAGGGCCACCCCCACGGGCCTCACCTTCCGTGTTGGCCAGCTGCTGCCTCAGCGTGTTGGCCGTGATGGCCAGCATCCTCTGGATTCGCCAGAACAGGACCACGTCGTTGCACTCCAGCTGAAACACCGGGCGACAAATCAGCCCCGGGGACACAGCCGGGCAAACCTGGAACGGGCGGCTCCAGGCGGCCCCAGCTGAGATGCCCCGAGGTCTCTCCCCGGCCCGGGAGTGTCGTGCTCAAGAGGAATACGAACCAAAACCTAACGACAGAAGGCTCACACGCTGCTAATCAACCACATATCTGCAGAAGGAAGAAAACTTCTAGCCAAGGATGGGAAGTTGTTCCCAGGTCGAGGGGCCACCATGGTAAAGGCCACGCTTTCACAGCCACAGCTCTTGCTTCTTGCAAGGAGAAGCATGTGGAACGGGGCTCGGGTGTCCACTGCAGGCTGATGCAGCGAAAAGCTGCCCTGCGGAGCGGCCGCTCCCTGGCCACGAACAGAGTGGGCTTCAGAGCGCTTATGTGCTTACTGAAGAGAGGCCACCAACGACACAGGGGACACCCTGGTCCTGCGGGTCCACATGCCTGGATACGGTTTTACTGAACTGAGCGCCCGCAGATCTTCTGGAAAGGTACGCCCATACTGACGTCAAAGCACTGCTCCACAGCCTCTCGAGCAGGTACAGGCAAGCGGGCTTTTGTCTTACTTTTCTTCTGATCCAGGGCTATGTATATTTCTGCTGCTGCTAATAAACTCAAAATCAATCCTAGTATTCCTATTGCCAGTATCCTTTATGCAACACAACTGAGCTATTTTAGGATCAAGCAGAATCAAGTATCTGGTTGGTTCATTACCCAGAAGCCAGCATGGAGGGGACAGCACTGGCCGGATAGACTTGCGCCTTCCACTACTGGTCAAAAAACTTTGTACCCATTAAAGCATTAGAAAGCCACAATGAAACAGGCAAGCAAAGGAACAAAGCTTTAAAAAGGAGTGTGGTGGTAACAAACAAACGAGCATTATCTGGGAACAACCATCATCATGACCGTCGTCAACCAGGACCGCACTTGGAATACTGCATAAAAATGCCAAGATATTTCCAGAGGAAAAAGGCCGAAATACAGAAAAATACTCAAGTACTGAAGAAAAGGGACTTCTCGAGGCACCGAAGGCCCTTGAAGGAGAACTGAGGGAATGGTGTGGGGGGGGGGGGAGCGCCTCCTTCTTATAACAGAACGGAGCAGGGAAAGAGGTCCCACCAAACACCCTTAATGAGGACATCTTCCCAGTTAACGGGCCCCACGCATGTGGCGCACAGAGCTCCCAAAGGAGAACATTTGATCTGTGGCATTCCCTGCCCTGGCAAGTGCCGGCGGCTGCCAATCGGGATGGCTTCAAAGGGGGAACTCCCCATGGCTACCAGCCTCGCTGGCTGCTGCCTCCGAAATCAGAGGCGTGGGCACGCCTGCACGCTCCAGCCCCTGACGAGCCCAGGCCCAGCCCGCTTGAGGGATCCCGCAGGCTGCAAGCTGGGCTGCGGCTGCGCGACTGGAGCGCTGGGCTGCATGGACCGGGTTCTGAGCCTGATCGGGCAGGGCTCCACCCTCGTTCGTATGAATAAACCACCGGAAAGCAAAGGTGAACGGGAAAGGTTTGAAGCCCACGCTAAACGGGCACAGAGAGGAGGCTCCGTGGCGGCACGGGCCGTTCCATGACCTGGGAGCTCCCCGCAAAGAGGTTGTGCCCCGGCTCATCAGCCCCAAGAGCTCAACACTTGCGCCCCTGTCACTTCTGCCAGTGGAGATGCAAGCCCAGGGGCTTAAGGGACACCGACGCACAATGCATTATGACGCGCTATACTCAGCAGCTTCACAGATCGGCAGCAAAAGCAGCCAATCCACCTTCACATGCAGTGAGCCGTGCGCTAATTTCTCCTCCTGTCTTACTGGCGGGGAAACAAAGGCTGTGAGGCGCGCGCCCGCGGAGCACCTGGCTTGCCTGAAGCCGGGGCAGGCCAGGCATCCTCGGAATGTGGGCCGGATGCCACGGGAGGTCGGTTCCTGCAGGCCCCCGAGCCCCCCTTGCAGGCCTAGCTGGTCCGCGGGACGTTCTGCCCTGCCGGGGCTTTGCGGAGGACGGGGCATCCGCGGGCGGCACTGCCGAGGCGCTCGGCTGCGCAGGACGGCCGGCCCCGGGGAGAGGAGAGGAGGCAGGAGCGCAGGCCGTCCCAAGACCGCCCCCTGGTGGCGCGCCCCGGTGCAGCCGGCCCCAGCCAGCCTGCAGCTTCCCTTCCTCCCAGGCCGCGTCCAGGCCCGGAGCCTCTTGCCTCTTACCTCCGAGTCGACAAAGTGCCGCTGGTAGTAGTGGAAGCCTCTCCGGCAGAGGTTGCAGTGGCCCAGGGCCCTCTTCAGGAAGTGCCGCCTGTACACCTGGTGCCAGGTGTCTTTAATCTGGGGGCAGAGGGAAGCGCCCGGTTATCGCTGGGCCGAGCAGGGGGGCGCCGGAGCGGGGGAAGGCTCGGCCTTTCCAGGTGGCCAGAGGCCGGCCGGCGGCCAGCGAGGGGGAGCAACTGGGGCTGAGGGACACCCTCCCAGTAGCAGCACGGTCCACTTCCGGGGCAGCTGGCTTTCCCCCGCAGGCAGCACGACAGAAGTCCAGGCGCCTCCTCCGTGCAGCTCGAGCCGCTGCCACCGTGAGGGTGGCAGTTAGTCTGGGCGGCCCATGGCGCTTGGCACCGCAGGCACTGGAGGGCCGGCAGGTTGTGTCCAAAAGCACTCGGTCTGGGAAAGGGCAGGCTGGAAGGGGCGGCTGCCCCCTTGTCGCTCGCTGGCCTTTGTCGCGTGTGTGTTGCGGGCACGCCATGCCTGCCTGCAGCACGTTCTGCGAGGGTTGTGGCCAGCACAGCAAAACGCACCAACTCTCTGGGATGTGGCCTGATGGGGTTTGACCCTCTAGCTGGGACCCGTCGCCCAGGAAATCGCAACTGTGTGGTGTCCGCTGGCTCATCTCAGGCACAGAAACGTGATTTTCAGCTACTGGGGTCTTGCAAAAGCTCTCTCTTGTGAGCTTTCACCCAGCCGAGGATCAGCTTGTGAGGCTGTGCCACAGGCAGAGAAGTCGGGTTTGGCGAGGCTCTGCTGAGACCTCCTGTTCTTTGACAGCACTCAAAAGGTAGGCTTCTTGTGTAAGCAGTCTTTCTGACAGGGTTCCAGCCACGAAATCTGTCAAAAACCCTGTTAAAGAAAGCCATTCCTTTTGACTGTTGTCAAAATTAAGTATTTTTGAGAAAGGTGAAGGTGTGGTGCAAATCTTACCTCTTGAAAGTGCCTCGAAGTTTGGGGAAGTGTGGCAAAGGGGAAAGGCACTGCGAATTGCCAAAGCTACAGAATCCCCACAAACCAACCCATTTCTTAAAAAGTCGCAAAATATTTGCGCACATAATTTTTTGTGTTTAAAAAAGTGGCGAACCGGAGGGAGCCACGGCCATGAGCTGCTTGGCCACTCCGGAGGGGCCGTGGTGGGGGACATCACGGAAAGGCTCCAAAAGAACGGAACGGAGCGGAGCGGCGGTGGTGCCCAGAGTGGGGCTGTGGCTGGCGCCGGGCGAGGCCTGGTGGCTGGAGTGCTGCTGGGGCACCGGTGGATGTGCCCTCCCTGGGGCGGCACAGGAAGTCCAGCAAGAGTGGGCGGGGCTTCGGCCACCCTTGCCGAAACAGGGCACCCCACGGGGAGCAGCCTGGGCCCGCGCCACACCACAATCCCCTGTGGCTGGCTGCCCGCGGAGGGCTGCCGCGCCCCCTGGCCTCCCGCCCTCCTCCTCTCTCACACGCAGGAGTGACACTTCTGGTGGGCGCGGAGAGACTCCCGAGCGTGCCCAGGCCCTTCCACCGTCGCCTCCAGCAAACGCGGCTCCAAAAGTCCTGCACACGCCGGGGAGCTCAGGCAACATCTGGCAGCCAGCAAGCAGGCAGGGCCCCCGCCAGAACCGGCCTTGATGTTCCGTGCACAAGTGGCTTAGATTATGGCTTCTGCTTGGAGCCCACCTCCCCTTCCACTGGGCATCAAAGTGCCCATAAATCTCCGGCTGGCGACACCTTACCAAGCATGGATCGACCGCCACCCCTCGCGCCTCGAGGTTCTTCCGGACTGTCGTGACCTCGTCATTCGCGAGGTAGGCCGGGTGCTCCTCGTTGCACTTGATCATCTTCTCAAGCTCATTCTTTGTTTCGTTGCGGATGGCCTGAAAGGAAAGAGGCACCTTTTCTTACATGGTTGCTTCTCTCAGCTGGTGTCAAGAAACAGTAGCGGACTTTCAGCACCGCTGACGGCACTATCGGGCTACGCCCCACTGCTGCCCACGCTGGAGGAAGATCACACAACCCACCTTTTGCTTTGTCCCTGCACCCACAAGGAGGTTTTCTGGCGCATCAATGCATCAAATGACCGTGCCGAGCATGAAAAACTGCAGTGCTTGGGAAAGACACATCCCCGTGGACCAGAATCCCTAACGAACAGATACGGGCCCAGGGATAGGCAGGACACTGGAATCTGAAGTGCGCTTAATTGATCCAAGAGCTAATTCTCCTACAAAACAACACTGCGTGGCCATGCAGGACCTTGGGGCTGCAGAAGACAGCTCAATGGAAGCAACACCCCAGGGCGCAGCTGCTGTGAAAAGGACACACTCCGTATTAGGTGTAATTAGGAAAGGAGCTGGAAATGAAACCGACTCAGTCCCATCAGCCGTATGCAGCTCTGTGGCAGGGCCAAACCTGGGAGGCCGCGTACGGTTCCGGCCCCCGAACCTGAGAGCGGAGGCCGCAGAGGTGGAGGAAGGGCGGATAAGTGCTGGGCTCTGGGTAGCAGGCGGCAAAGAAACCACACGCACAGGAATAATTAATTCTGCAGCTCCTGCACAAGGAACGCCTAAAGCACTGGGGGTTGTTTAGCTTCGCAAAAGGATGGGTCAGTGGAGGGACAAGTCAAAGGGGCATCGCATGGTGCCTTGCGTGGAAAAAGCGGGTCCAGGGAGACAAGGGAGCGAGGGAATCCGCCCACAGAATGTCTCCCTGCCCCTCTTCTTCACAACAGGTGCCCAATTGTCCTCCTCTATCACGTGTTCCCTTCCTCGCCTTTTCACAAAGTTAAATAGTCCCTCACAGGGCAGGTGCTCTTTCCCGGTGCCCCTTCGCGCCTCCTCCAGCTGGACAGCACCCATTTCTCGGTGGAGCGGAAGCTGGCTTGTCTCACTTCAACACAAGCCGGACAGACCCGCTTCCTCTCGCCGGATGGCGACCTGCTTTACCTGTTCTTTGGTGCGCCCCATCCAGTACAGCCACCGCTTCTTCCAGTCCGGGCCCACCATGTCCTCAATAACCGATTCGGCTGGACAAAATCAAAACAGCGATGCTTCAGGACCGGGCTGCCGCCTGGCACTGCGCCTTGCTTCCTCTCCTGGTGGCAAGAGGCCACAGGTGGGGGGGCAAGCTGGTTCTAGCAGGGGCACTCCGATGGACTGCAAAGCGGGGGACGGCAGTCCATGAGGAGAGGACCACCATGGCCTGCTCAGGGGGGACCGAAGGGCTGCGGAATGTTTACGGGAGGAGCAGACACTGCCAAAGGCCAGTTTCAACGGCACCTGAGGAGCTGAGGTGCTGCAGGCACTTACTGTCCTTCAGGCGGCTCTGAAGCGTTTCTTCCATGAACTGGATGGCTGCATCCCACTGCTGCTTGTCCGAGATGGAGCGGTCCTCCAAAGCGTTGTGCTGGATCACTCGCTGTCAAGGAACGGGACAAGGAGCGTCACTGCCCGCTCTTCCGGTCAGTCACCAAACCAGGGGTATTCTGGTAAAAGCCTAACTCCAGAGGAAAAACGGTTTTCCGATAGCTTAGAACACTTCTCCGTAAGAACGCCAGGACACCCGGAAGGCACAGCACGGGCTTCACCCGCGCAGGGTGGCCGTGCTTCTCTCTGTGGAGGTTGCTGGCATACGCTGGCTATGATTTCGATGGAGCCAAAGGGTGGCAAAGCTACTGAATCTGTGTCAGATCTTAGGGCAAGAAGCTCCTGTAAGAGTTGGCATGAGGTAGGTCAGCAAAACAGAGTTTTGGACAGGCCGGTGTGCGGAATTTGTTTTGGGCAGAAAGACCACCAGATCCCCCGGCTTTTGGCTCCCCGGAAGCCTGCGCTCCGGGTGGGCACGCCCTGGGCGCGCGAGGCGAAGACCAGGAAGCCCGCCCCCGGCAACATGCCAGCAGTGCCTCTCTTCTGCGCCCAGAGCTGCCGCTGGCGCCTGGGATTGCTGGCCGGGGACGGGCGCTGGCCGGCCACCGAGACCCACGAACGCTCACTGCACTCTTCTGGGCTCGGCCCATTTCCTTAGAGTCGAGCGCCAGAAGAAGTCTGATGGGCAGGTGCGAACCGGGTTCCGGAGAAGCTCAGCACAGCCCGGTTTGCCGTGGGCGGGAGCACAAGGCGTGTGCGGAGGGCCCCTCCCCTACCTGCACTGAGCTCTCCCGGAAGGACCCGCGAGAGGGATGACGGCGTGGCCTCACGCGCAGCAAACGTCCCGACGCCTAGTGGGGCGAATGCTCAGCTTGCATGCCCCGCAAGAAGTCCACCCCGGAGACAGAGCCGCTCGGCTGCAAACCGTGGCGCCAGCGTGCCATTTTACGGGATCCTTCAGGAAGCGGCACTAGCCCTCATCCCCCAGAAAAGCCCTGCCAGAGCCGGGAGCCTCTCGCTCGCTCTGCGCCCCCCGAGCAGCCTCGGAGGCGCTTTGCGGAGACCGCCTGCAGCGAAGGCACAGGCTTACCAGGCTGTCTTCTGCCCGCTCGTTCCACTTGTGCCGCTTGACGCTCTCATCCTTGACAGCCTGCTTCAGTTTGTCGAAGATGTTGTCGTGCTCTTTACCCTTCTCCTCAGTCATGAAGCGAGAGAACTCCTCCTGCAGGGTCTCCCAGGCAACCTGCAAGCGTGGCAACAGAACCCCTGGAGTGGCCAGGTGCCGGCGAGGACGGGGCGCGCCACACGAGACGCACGGGCAGCCCACACAGCAGGGCCGGCGTCGCACGCTTGAGGCGTGCTGCCATGGAGCAGATGGGGGCAGTGGCCCACCTGCCAGCCGCACGCACCCCTCCTGCGGGCAGAACTGGCCGCACCCTGCCGGCCTCACTCTGGCCGGCTCTGCACGAGCCACGACCCACCGCGGGCAGCGGAAGGCAGCCCGTCTCCCTCGGGGCCTGGTCCAGGGGCCGTATTCACGGGGGGCTGCCATCTTGCCCAGACCCGGGCAACCGACTCCTTCCTCCGTGGGTCGAGGGAAACGGCGAGCGAGGCGCTTGGCAAGGGCGGCGGGGCCCCTCCCTCAGCTGCCTTCGCTGAGCCCACCCAGGCCCGCACCAGCCACTCCACCAGGAGCCCAGGCAGCACCACGGGGCAACCGCCGTCACCCGCGTTTCCTCTGCGCTGACCACCACGCCGTTTCGGGTCACTGCGGCTCCCCCCACTCCCCGTTTCTTCCTCATTTCACCGTTACCCTGGGGAAACTGGGAAGCAGGTGCCACAGCGACAGCCACTTCAGAGCGCCCAGCACAGACACTGGGTCAGCTGCCACTGGCTCACCCACAGAAGGACTGGCACCCAAGGCTGCAAGCCAGCCCATTGCAGGAGCGCGGGGTCCGGACCGCTGCAGAGCGCCATGCTCCTGCAAAGGGGCGGCCTGCGCTTTCCCAAGCACCTGGCATCTCAGGAGACACTGGAAAAGGTGCAGGACACTGGGAACAGGCCGATTCAGCACCCAGAAGCCTCCAGGATCCCTCTGTGGAGGGCGACCTCCTACATGACTCGCAGTTTCGCTTCTCACGGGGCAGCTGACTGCAAACGAGCAGCAAAAGGCTGGCGGGCGGCCCCAGCTGAGCGATGCGGAGAGCCCGAAGGGAGCGGCAGCTTCCTCGAGCTGCTCGGCCAGCCCAGCAGAGCCTCACCTCGACGGCCTTGTTGGGCAGCTGCTTGTCCGTCCACTGCTTGAGCTTGATGTCCACCGTGGTGTTAAAGGTCCCCGAATTGGAGGTTTGCGCTGCGGGGAGGTAGATGTTTTCTATCACGTGTGTCGAGACCCTCTCCCACAAGGACTTCTGCAGGATCTCCTCCCTAAGGAGGAAAACGGAAAGGCTGCTCGGCATCCCCACCGATGGGCCATGGGGCCCCCGACTCCAAGCCACAGACCCTCAAACAGAGCCAGCATTCCGGCAGCGGGGAAGCCCCGTGCTTCAGCTGCACGCAGAGCAAGTATATCAACTGCTGCGGAGCGGCTGAAAACGCTTCCGAGGCTGAGCACTCGAGCTGTGGGACGGAGGACCCCCCGCCCACCACCAGATCCGATCACGTGCTTGTGAGGCTCTCCCAATTTAATGACTGGAGACTCGTCTGCAGTCCAGTCACTTGCGCAAGGAAGCGGACCAGCTCCAGCATTTCCTTCAGTCAGTACAAGACATCCATCGCTACAGTTTTCCATTGACACCCGAACTGTACCAAACCCAGAACTGCCACCTGAGCCCAAGTGGATTCAGAGCAGCTCCTCCCTTTGAAAGTGGAGAAGGCGCCCGTTGTTCAGCGCTCGTGAGAGCTGTTTTTGAAAATGCAAAAAGAACCGGAGCATAAAGAGCAAGAACGGCTTGCCGAGACTAAAGGCAGACTGTCTCTGTGAGAGTCTGTGGGGGCCCCCTCACCGCCTCCCAGTCTTGTCGGACGAGCGGCCAGCGGCACGAGGCACCGTCGAGAACGCCGCGTGCGGGCGGCATCCTCAGCAGAAAGCTGGGCTACTCAGGCCGAGAAACCCAACTTTCCGTCCTGCAGAACCTTTCCGGCTTAACAGCAAACCCTGCAGAAGAGTCTGCCCCTGCCCTCTCCTCCCCTGCAGCACCCTGGAAATCCAGTGACTGAAGGGTCCCGACCCATAAAAGCCGTTTGGGAAGGGGGTGCTGGCCCTCCGTGGGTGCCACCACTCTGCCGGTGGATGCACAGGATGGGATTTGGTTCACGGGATCAACAGCCCCTGCGTGGAGTTGCTCCAACCCATATTTAGAAAGCCCCCCCCCCCCGCCGCCTCATTCCTGGAACGAGAACAGTCAGCTTAAGTGATGCTTTTTCTTCGGAGAGCAGCAACACTGCCAGCCAGAGGCAGCAAGGTGAGGGGTCACCCGGCTCTCTCAGAGAGGCAGAACCAGGAAATGCTTTATAGGCAGAAGGGGGAGGTGGGGGGGGTCCAGATGGGTAAGAAGCGCAGGGCATCCCCACGGGATCCCAGGGAGTTTAGGGCAGCCGGTTTTTATTTTAATCTTAGCGTAACCTATTTGCAAGACAACACAAAACAGAAGAGCAACAGCCCCAGCGAATTACCGTACCAGTGCTTTGGCGTCACCTGGCTCAAGCTTATGACTTCATCCAGGATTTCGTTCTTCGCTTTCTCAAACAGTTCATTCTAGACAAATAAGAATGATGATGATGATGATGATGATGATGACGACGACGACTGTGGCTATGAAGACTCAAGAGCTAAGCCAGGTCATGGCCACCCGTGGCCCCAGTATAGTGGCTCTGGCCACGGCTCCACTGCTCACTCCCGCACGGGACTGCTGCGTGCGAGGCCTGGCCCGGCCTGGCCGGCAGCCTCTCCCCCCAGGGCAGAGAGCCCCTCCTGCCCACACCTGCTCCCAGAGATGCTCGTAACGGGGCCCCAGCTGAGCAGACGCTCTCCCTTGGGGGTATTATGGGGTGCAGGCAGAGCCTTTGCTCGTTGGGCAAAGGAGACAGGAGCTCAAAGATGGCTCTGTGTGTTGCAGCCTCCTCAGGCGGACTCAGAACAGCTGCTTTTTCCACACCAATTGTGCTCAATTCTGGCAAGGTCTCACCAGGAGAGTCCTCTTAAAAGTACAGCTCTGTCAGGGAAGTTCTACCTGCGTAAACCACTTTGCCGTTTGCAAAAAGGCCGGTGGTCATGCAGAAAAATGCAGGAACGTGCAGGAAAGGGACCTGTGAAGTCCAGGAAGAGAGCGTCCAGCTGGCCCCAAGAGCGGTGTGGGGGTGTGGCAGCCCCCGTGGCCAGGGAAGCCGCGCCGGAAGCGAGGCAGAAGTAGCCCCCGCGACACAAAGGGCAGCGGGGGACCGAGGGCCCCTTGGCAGCCAAGGCTCCGCTCACCCGGTCAAGCTCCCGCAGGCGGGGATAGTTGTTCTTCCACTCCGTCTCCAGGTTAAAACGTGTCGCTGTGGGAGGAACAGAGGGAGAATTCAGGCCTCGCTCTTCGGGCTGCGGCACAAGGCGCAACGGGAGGCCCCCGGCAGGAACGCAGAGCAGCCGAGGCGGCAGGAGCGGCTCTCGCGGCAGGCAGAGGGACAGTGCGTGGCTGCGGTGCATCACCCCCACAAGGGGGGGGGGGGCGCCGCCAGCACGGCAGAGCCGCATTTGCCTTGTCTGCTTCCGAGCCTAAAGCTTCCGCAGCGGAGCGACAGGAGGCCCCGCTGGGGTAGACACCCCGTCCCCCAAGAGCACACACAAAGCACGGGCACAGCAAGGCCAATCCTCAGGCCGGAGGAGGCTGCGGCACTCCTCCACGGCGACACAGCAGCACGGATCTTTCACGGAATCCCCTCTTGGAACGTGTCCATTTCCCTCGGTCGGCCCCCTCTGGGGGCCCACAACACTCGCCCCCCCTCGACAGAGGAGCATCTGCCTGGCCCACTGGCCCGCACGCTCTGGAGGGAGTACGGAGGGATGAAGCCCAGGCACTCTGAGCAGGAGCTGCGCTCTCCCCGTCTTGGCCGCGTTTCGAAACGGCGCACCCTCGTCCAGACCTCTGCTGGGCGAGGGGATCCCACAGAATCGGTCAAGGGTCCTCCGCTCCTTGCCCCCCCCCCACTGAGATGAACCAGCACGGCTTCTTTCGTCCCCCCACCTTGCCATTTGCCACGGCAAAGCAATCGGAAGCTTCAGGAGACAGGCGATCCCTTCGTATCAGAGAATCATAGAACAGCCAAGCTGGCAGGGGCCAGAGGGCCGCTGCTCAGTGCAGGATGCCGGCTGACCCATCCCTGTCGGATGGCCATCCGGCTGCACCCCGGATGCCTCCCGGGCGGGGGGGGGGCGGGGGGGGGCTCACCACCTCCCTGGTCACGGGGTCCACTGTCGAGCTGCTCTAACAGTCAGGAAATTCTCCCTGATACCTAACCTGATATATTTGTGAGCCGCCCCGAGGCTTCGGCGAATGGGGCGGCATAGAAATTTTCTAAATAAATAAATAATATCCAGAATCTGGCTTCCCAGAACCTGAGCCTGTGATTCCATTGGACTCAGTAGTCCAGAAGAGGCCCGGCCAGCACCGAATAAGGTGGAACTAGTACTTCACAAGATTTGGAAGTGATATTCTATTAATGCAGCCTAAAACAGTGTTTGCCCGGTTTACTTCCACCTCACAGTATGGACTCGAATTCAGCTTGCGATCTTAAGCAACTCCAAGGCCCTTTCACTTGCAGTATTGCTGAACTGAGTATCCCCCATCCTGCAATGGTGCATTTGGTTTTTTTCCTCGGTGCAGGAATTTGCCTTTGTCCCGGTTAAATTCCATTCTGTTCTTCTCAGTCCAGCGCACCAACCTATCAAGGTCACCCCGCATCTTGTTTCTGTCTTCCGGGGTCTTAGCTACCCCACCCAGTTCTGCGTCATCTGCACATTTGATCATTGTGCCCCGCACATCCTCCTCCACAGGATGAATGAGCCCCGGACTGAGCCCTGTGGGTCCCCCCTCGCTGCCTCCCCACCGTCTGAGAAGGCGCCCCGAGGAGCTCTCTCCGAGTCCCGTTCTGCAGCCAGCCGTGGCTGCACCTGGTCGCGGCTCCACCGGCCCCCTTGGAGTTCGCTTGCTAATCAGGACATCCTGGGGCGCTTGGTCAAAAGCTTCTCTGAAGTCAGGATAGACTGTCCACAGCAGTCCCACGGTCCACCAGGGAGGTCACCCACTCAAAAAATTGCAGATTAATCTGGCAGGTTTTGTTCTGGAGGAAGCCATGCAGGCTTCCAGCATTGCTTTCAAGGCTGCCTGCTTTCCCATCTGCTCTAGAAGATTCCCAGGAATTGATGTCAGACTGATTACACTGCTCCAACCAACCTTGAGTGGAGCTAAAAAGTTACTGCAGCATTTCTGCAGACCTCAGTGTGAGAAATAGGAAGAAGTGCTCCAGGTAAGATGCCTGACCAAGGCCTGAGGACGCTGGGAGGGTCCTGAAAAGCAAACGCCCTTGGCTCCTCCTGCCCCCAGGATGCCCCAAGGTCTCCCAGCCCCACCACCTTTGAAAGCATCTGCCTGCTGCTCCACAGACTCGCGCACCATCTTCCAAAAGCAGTCCGAGACGGCCAGGCTGAGGTTCCGCGTGGTCACCTGATGGGCCTTCAACATGCAGTTCCTACGAAGACACACAAGCACAACCCGGGGGGATTTCACCAGGACAGGGGAAGAATTTCTCATGAACAGAAACGGAGGCCCCAAAAATGAAGACTGAGGAAGGAGGCGAGGAAAGGAGAGGAAGTGCTGATGCGAGACATTCTCCCTTTGTCGTTCCCCTCTCGAAAAACCCAAAGCACGCCACTTGGACGCCAGTTTTCTCTTGAGGTAAGAGTATAATTGCATTTTAGGAAGGAACCAGAGGTTCACAAACTTCATCAGGTCTTGGCAGCTGGTCAGGATTTGTGGTCACCCCACCAGGGCCCTGCCCTTCCCCAGCACCGAGTGGCATTGGGTCTCCAATGTCACACAAGAGCATCGCCAAGACAAAGCGCAGAGTCGGGGCAACCCTCCCAAGCCGCAGCCATTGGCTCGAACTTCGGGAGAGTTGCAGAGCTCGCCACTCTCCAGACAAGGGAGAGATGCTCTTAATGGTGAGAGAAATTGCGAAGCCCTGCTCAGAACTATTTGAAAGAGCAGCATATGCTGTACAAACACCGACTGGAAGGAAGCACATCTGCAGCCAGACAGGGGCTGCGAGCCACTTGCTAAGGATCAAGCCCCCTGGACACAACAGGGCTTACTTCTGAGTAAGCAAGCAGAGCCTCGCACCGTACGGAAAACAGGGCCATTTCACATGTTCAGTATTCCCAGTAAATTATCTTCAGGCCCAAATCCCTCTAGAAAAGTCCAGCATCAATGCACAAAGTGCTGCCTTTCTCGAGATCATACGTGGGGAGTTCATGGACTAGCTTAGAAGTGTATTTCCACTGGACTGGCCCCACAACACCTGGAGGTCCTCTGCTCCAGACTGGCAAAAGAGGCCTCCCCCATTCACAAGGACGCCAGGAAGTGCTCCAAGCCACACTGAAGCGCCTGGTTCCTTCACGCACTCGAGCAGTTTATGTCCCACTAGAAATTCTGAAACCTGAAGTGCTGACTAGCAGCACTAAACCAACAAGACACATTTCAAAACAAAACAAAAAAAACATTAACATACTTCAGCAGTTTGGAGTTTTGGAAGAATTCTTCTTCATACTCTCGAATAGATTCAATACTTTCACTGCTATTTCCTAGAGGAAGGAAACCCAGAACATTTAAACTCTTCCAACACATCCAAGAACCCTCTACCAGTTGTCCAGCAATAAACTCTAAATTACCTTTCCCTGTAACAACTGCAAAGTAGCCAAGGGCCTTCATTGGGAAGAGTTTTCCTTCGATTATCTGCTGGATCTGCGAAAAAAGAAAAGAAGCGAGGCTGATCCCACAGGCTTTGTTTTCCTTTACCCAATCTATGCAGAAGAAGCAGGAGCCAAACGAAACAGGGCCTGCTCGTAAATCAGATTACCCTGGGGAAGGGCAATTGACCGCTGCGGGTGAGGGATGTGGGCAGGCAGCCATTCTGCATATGCAGCTTGTTGCATCACGCAGACCCCTCACGCGGGTTGTTGGTGGTGTGAACAGACCCCGAAATGCCCCTGGGCTGCGTGGGGCTTGGTTCACCATGCCAACCACTCGCCCCAGCGGGCCTGCAAGACGCGGCAAGCTGCAGCTGCAGTCTGCGTACGTGAAAAGTTTCCCAGCGGCACTGCAAGTCCCTGTGGATTAAGTAAGCCAAGACGGGCTGCGGCGATCACATGCCCCGGGTCCCAGGCTCGCAGGCAGAATTCAGCCCGACAACGTCAGCTGCAGGATGCCTCGAATCACGGGGCTCTGAACCACATCAACTAACCAAAGCAAGCCCAAGCCGGGGAGCATTAATGCATGGCTGCACTTTCAAAGTAGCCAGCAATAATGATCTCGCACACAGAAGACGGAGAGCAGGATAAGCAGCGGATGAAGCACCTCCTGCCCAGGGAACCTGCATGCAAAGAAAGGCGCCGGAAGGCACCGTTCGAATGCGCAGCGCCCGCGGGGGTCCTGGCTATGCGCCACGGGAGAGTCATGTGGGGCTTTGTCACAAAATTCCACTCACACCAGTTCCCAAGCACCCCATTTTCCTTCCACAAGCCAAGAAACAACTTTCTTCCCTTGGTACAGCTGGGCAAACAACGTCCAAAACCACACCAGACAGTCTGTTGCCAGCAAGAGGAGCCACGACTGCCAGGCACGGGCACAATCCCAGACGACTGTGGCCGGAGCCACGCAGAGCACACCCGGCCCCCGCCAGAGCCCACTGCTGCATCCAAAGAGCCGGGACGCCGGCGGCCAGCTCCCTCCGGGGCACCCCAAGGCGCTCCCCTGCCCGCTCTCCGGGCAGCGCCGACAGCCCCTGCTGCGTGACATCGGTCTTCCCGCCTTACCCGGCTTGGACTGGCCACGTTTTTCTCGGCGAGGTCCACTTTGGTCAAAACGAAGATCGTCCTTTTGCCCTGGGGGTCCATTTGGCTGACCAAGTCGGTGACGATGCTGCGTTCCGCATCCACCGACCCATCTGGAAGCAAAGCACAGCAGCCCAGATTTGCGGCGACTTGGCACAATATGCAAAGCGCTTTCAAGAAAAGGCGCGAGGCAAACACAACGGACTCGAAGAAAATAAGAGACCAGCCGAGCACGAGCACCACTGTCCCACTCCGATCCCAGCGGGCAAAGGACTCGCAGGCACAGGGCTGGGAAGCGGCACCGGATGCCGCCCTCCGCTGGCCCAGCCACAACGCCAAGGTGGCGGCCTTCCCACCCCACGCTTCCACCCCAGGCCAGAGAGCAGGCCTGCTCTGGGCCCCAGGAGCCCCTGGGAGGATCCAGGCGAACGGGGGGCCGATGGCAGGGCCTCTGCGAACGACGAGCCGAGTCCCCGCCAGGTGCGGGACAGAGTCCTCGCCTACCTTGGATGCAGAGGATGATGGCATTGGGGTTCTGCATGTAGGCTTTGCTGATGCTGAAGATGGTTTCCTTGGTGTCCGGAGCCATCCCCGACGTCACTGTCTGCTCAGAGAGACCAGGAGGACAGCAAATCGAGCGGCGGCTGACATAGCGACCCTGAACGGCAGCCGATGGACCCCCCACAGGTGCCTGCTGGGCAGACTCCGGAGGCTTCCTCGGAAGGGGAATGCCCAGCCTCTCTGTGTCAACAGCTCTAGGGCTCAACTTTTCCCGGGCTGGGAAGCACGGTCGAGCAAGAGGCCCATTCCCCGGCACGCACACGCCCTGCGCTCACTCATCCCCCCGGGCGTCCTGCAACGGGCCGGCTGCACACTCCATTCAGAGCAAGGGCAGAGGGAGCGAAGGCCAGCGCCCACAGGGGACGAAGGGGAGAGGGCGAACCACAAGCACCGCATACGCACGCTAATGACGCCGGGCAAATCCACCAGCACCATCCTCTGCAGGCCGGGCCCTTTCACACTGAGGGAGATGGTCTGCAAAAGAAAACAGAGGCGTTGCCAGATCAGTCCGGGAACCTTTGCGGTGAGACGAGAACGGAGACGATTGAGCTTGGAGGAGCCCACTGAAGCACCTGTGATTTCTTGGATGGGGACAGGATGAGGCCTCATCAGAAACTGCGAGAGGTGGCGGGGGAGGGCGTTTGTAAGGCCAAGCGGAGAGAGAACAGGACAACAGCCAGGCCTCACCTCAGAGCTGACGGTGCAGCCTTCGCCCACACTCTTCCTCATTCTGATCTCAATCTCATTCCGCAGGGCTGCAAGCTGTTTCAGAGAAATCAGAAATAATCAGAATTCCGAGCTGGAACGGAGATACTTTTGGGCCAGTGGACAACCAGCGTCAGGGTAGTTCAGCGATGGCAAACCTTTGAGAGTCGGAGTGCACAAAGTGCAACCCAAAGCCCACGCATTAATCACAAGGTGCCAGGACGGCAATAAAACCTGAATACTAAGATTTTAGTTTAGAAAAAACAAATCACAGGGAGTCCAAGCAAACACACACACACACACACACACACACGTACGTACGTATCCATGACACCACATTGACAGGCCATGCGAAAGCTCGAACAAGTCGCGGCTCATGGCATCATCGCCTGGCACCACTACTGCTTGCTGGACATGCGCATGGCCCCTCTGTAGGGCGATGCTGGGGCAACTTGGCTCGCATGCTGACAAAGAGGACTCAGCGGACCCACTGTGCCAATCGTGCCACAGGTCCACCACCACTGCCCTAACCCTCCCTGGGTGCACTCCCCTAACCCTAATACAGGGCTAAAGTTCCACTGAAAAGAGGACGATTCTGCAAAAGCCTTCTTGAGTAGCTTTTTCTGCACTGCTCATCATTTATGCCCCTTCTAAACACATTCCAACCGTCAGATTCATGCCAGGACACCTCGTTTTCCTAACCCTAACCCTACCCTGGTGCACACCCCTAACCCTAATATAGGGCTAAAGTTCCATGGAAAAGAGGGCAATTTTGAAAAAGCCCTCCTTGATTAGCTTTTCCTGACTGCTCATCATTTCTGCCCATTCTAAACACATTCCAACCATCAGATTTATGCCAGGACACCTCCGTTTTGTAACCCTAACCCTACCCTGGTGCACACCCCTAACCCTAATATGGGGCTAAAGTTCCATGGAAAAGAGGGCGATTTTGAAAAAGCCTTCCCTGAGTGGCTTTTTCTGCACTGCTCATCATTTCTGCCCATTCTGAACACATTCCAACCATCAGATTCATGCCAGGACACCTCGTTTTGCTAACCCTAACCCTAGCCTGGTGCAGACCCCTAACCCTAATATCGGGCTGCAGTTCCATGGAAAAGAGGGCGATTTTGAAAAAGCCTTCCCTGAGT